CCGCAGCCCCAGGGGAGAGTTCTTTTCAAACAGAACCAAGACCAAACCAGTAGGGTTTAGCACGCCAGGCACCCCTCTGACAAACACAGGGAGTGGCGGATGACGGAAAGCGCGCGTAGCGTTCGACCCGTTAGTCCGAAGGAATTAATTCGGGGGAGTGTGAGGGGGTGGCTTCTGCATTGCGGGATCTAATGGCCCGCCCTTTTCCTGTCAACGGAGCCCTTAGCAGGGAAACATCGGGGCCCCCAAAACGGACCGTTAACAGGGAAATCCATTATTTTCCTTGTTAACGGAGCCCTTAACAGGGAACATCGGGTGCTTAACAGGGAAAATCGGTGACGGACGCTCGGGCACCCTTTTCCCTGTTAACGGAGCCCTTAACAGGGACTTAACAGGGAAAATCGCGTGACGGACGCGTTTTTTTTCCATGCTAACGGACCGTTAGCAGGGAAACTAGTTCCTTGTTAACGGATCGTTAACGGACCCTGAACACCGCGGCTCCCAAGAGCGAGCAGTGACGTAAACAAGCTGATAAGACCAAGGCTCCCAACAGAGAGCGGTGACGTAACCCGTTCTTGACACCAGGGCCCGAAACGGGCGGCAACGTAAGCTCCGCGTAGGCTTCGCGTGAGCGCGTAAAGTCCTCGTCATCTTGAGGTACCTTCAAGACAGCCCTTGAGAGGCCAAGCGTCCTCCAGACGGTCCAAGATGCCTCCAAGACGACCCAAGAGGCCAGAGGCCCGTAAGATTGCTCCAAGATGGCCCAAGATACCCCGAAGCCGGCCCCAAGACGTGTTCAAACATCTGCACGTATGCAGACGGCTTCAACGACCTCCACGCCGGCGTCGAGCGGCCCAGACGGGCCCGAGGACGGCCCAAGAGCGATCCAGATAGCCCACGACGGCCTCATTATGGCTCAAGAGGTCTCCAAGTCTCCCCCCCGAGCACCGATGGGCGGTCTAAGCGGGACAAAAAAACGAAAGTAGGGCTTTCGCCGCCCGGGGGGCGCCTTGGGCCCCGCCCTACCTGCATAAGCTCCTCGCCAGCTTAAGGCACCTCCAAGACGGCGTGAGAGAGGCCCAGACCGATCCAAGATAGCCCAAGATGGCCTCAGCACAGCCCAAGAGGCCTCCAAGACACCCCAAGTGGCACCCGAGAGAACCCCCAGAAGTGCTGAAGGCCGAATAAGCCATTGTTGCCTTTAGGTTTATGAAGGTTTTCCAGCTCCTCGCCTTTTCGGGCAAGAACGGCCCGATACAGCTCCAGAGCCCCCCGATATTGTGCCATGACGGCCCGAGAGGCTCCCAAGAGAGCCCGAGGACGGCCCAGAAGGGCCCCAAGAGGGCCTAAGAGAGCCACAAGACGGCCCAAGGAGGGCCTGGGAGACGCCCAAGATGCTCCCAAGAGACAGTATGTCGTCGTCATCATCATCAACAGCATTATCCTAATCGTCATTCGTGTTTCATCGGGCTCTAGTGCCTTCCCACGATGCCAACACGCCCTGGTTCCCCCTCAAGAGGCCTCCTGCAGCTTCGAGATAGCCCTAGAGGGCGCCCAACATGCCACCGAGATGCCCCAGCAGAGCATCCAGACGGGTAGACAGAGAGAAAGAACGGGCAAGTCAGCGACATCTCGCGCTCTGAAAGTAAATGCGCGTTCCGTCCCCGTGCCAGCAGGTGACGGAAAGAGCGAGGTACGAGCGAGCGACGTTGAGCAGGGGCGAAGCCCTCCTAGGGGGGTGCAGGCGGCGGGGGTGAAGCGCGGGTTGATCGGTGGTAACGGCCAGTTTCCTTTGTATTTTTGGGCGGCTCCCACGGCCCATTTCTTGGCCTTCAAGAGGGCCCCAGAGAGGGCCTCAGGAGGCCTAAACAATTGATTTCCTCTAGAGTTTTTGGAGGTTTTTCGGGTTCTCCTTTTTTCCGTCCCAGAAGGGCCCCAGACGGCCCAAGAGGCCCCACAGATCGTCCCAAGACGGCCCCAGAGGCGCCCCAAAGGGGCCCACAACGGTCCAAGTGAGCCCCCAGACGGGCCCACAACGGCCCAAGAGGCCCCAAAGATCGTCCCAATACGGCTCCCGAGGCCCCGCAACGGGGCCGAAAACTGTCCAAGGGCCCCCAGACGGCCCACGAGGGCCCCAAGACGGCCCAAGACGGCCCCCAGACGGCCCCAAGAGAGCCCCAAGATGGCCCCAAGAGGCTCCCAAGCGGGCCCCAGGAGGAGGAGGAGGAGGAGGAGGAGGAGGAGGAGGAGGAGGAGGAGGAGGAGGACGGGGGAGGAGGGGGAGGAGGAGGAGGAGGAGGAGGAGGAGGAGGAGGAGGAGGAGAAAAGGGGGGGGGACTCATGCAAACCCAAGACGCATCAACGATGTTGCAGCAAAACCCTCCGTTCAAGTTCCATCTGCGCAGGTCCCTGAAATGATTAATGCCCATTGAGGGAAGTGTCCGACTGGAAGACGACCTCCTGATACTACTCAATCGCGCCAAAATGAAATTCTTGGAACTTCAACGCGCGGCGAATCAGCTTGACTGTTGCGCTCCGACAATCTTAGATCGTGCTAAGAACCATTCCTGGAATTCAACACCGCAAACAAATTTGACCGTTGCGTGCTGGTAGTCCGAAATCGCACCAGGACATGTTACCCAGCGTGGACCCCAAACAGCGTGTGTGTCCAGATTTTTTCGTTGCGAAATCTACGTTGTTGCAATATGGTGCGGTCAATATGGTGCAATCTATGTGGTACAATATGTGTGGTACAGTCAAAACAGGAGCCATGTATGCTGTGTATTCGATGGTGTGATATCGATGCTGTGCCATGTGGTGTACGACCTATGCTGTCCAATCTATATGGTGCAAGCTATGTGGTTCAATGAGTTGTCAACTCCAGTGCTCGCGAAATCATCCCGCCCACCCACCCACCCGCAATTTGGTTTGCAAAACCCATGTGACGGCGATTGCGATGAGTGCTTGGCGTTGGCTGGTGCATCTCTGTGGCCGCACTAGCCCGCGCATGCTCGTGCGGGCAGCGGCCAGCTCGTGCGGAGCGACCGACGCGGCCGCGGTGGCGCTGACCGGTGGGCACTTCCTGGCGGGCGCTTCAGTGCGAATCGTTGATTTGGGCGGGCGTGGTATCATGGCGACGCCGACAACGGGGGCACGATGAGAGTAGCGATGATAGCGACGATTGTGGCGATTGCCACGGCAAGGCCAATGACGGCGCCGATGTTGATCACGCCCGCCGATAACGATGATGATGTCCTTGCGTCGGTGACGAACTGAGGGTCCCCGATTCAACGCCGGGCTTTCTTTCTCGGGACCCGCTACATGCCACGAGTGCTGCCGATCAAAGAGTTTATACCGTACAGCATCGCTTGCTTCAAAGTGTTCAAGCATTGAGCCCCCAGACAGGGTGAATGATTGGGGCCCAGGTGGTTTTTGTCCGCCGGGCCGGGCGGGATACAAATGCAACCCAAATTGTTTTTCCAGGTTCCAGTCTCCGCCCCTGTGGCCCCTCGTCCACCCGACAGGGCGGGGGCCCCTGATGGCGTTGCAGAGCCTGGCGTTTCCTGCTGCCGAGTCGATCCGATCCTCCCTCCTTCCGTCTCCCTCTTTCTCCTTCCTCTTTCCTCCTTCCTGCCTTTTCCTTCCGTCCCTCTTCCCTCCTCTTCTCTTCTTCCTCCTCCTCCTCCTCCTCGTACTCCTCGTCCTCCTCTTCCTCCTCCTCCTCCTCCTCCTCCTCCTCCTCCTCCTCCTTCCCTCCTTGCCAGGTGGTGGCGGGAGGGGCCGCAGCCCGGGCTCCGTTGGCGCAGCCCCCCCCCCAGCGGTGTCGGCCGCCGCTTCACGGACCAGGCTTTGCCGTCGGCCCGTGCCCAGCCGCAATGCCGGCGGGATGGGGATTCGTCGTCGTCGTCGTCGTCCTCCTCCTCCTCCTATTCCTCATTTTTTTCGTCTTCGTCTTCGTCTTCTTCTTCTTCTTCTTCTTCTTCTTCTTCTTCTTCTTCTTCTTTCTCTTCTTCATCTTCTTCTTCCTCCTTCTCCTCGTCCTCCTCAGCCTCTCCTCCTCCTCCTCGCCTCCTCCTCCTCCTCTCCTTCCTCCTCCTCCTCCTCCTCCTCCTCCTCCTCCTCCCCTCTCCTCCTCCTCCTCCTCCTCCTCCTCCCTCCTTCCTCCTTCTTCCTCCTCCTCCTCCTCCTTCCTCTCCTACTCCTCCTCCTCCTTCTCCTCCTCCTCCTCCTCTCCCTCCTCCTTCCTCCTCCTCCTACTCCTCCTCCTCCTCCTCCTCCTCCTCCTCCTCCTCCTCCTCCTCCTCCTCCTCCTCCTCCTCCTCCTCCTCCTCCTCCTCCTCCTCCTCCTCCTCCCTCTAGAATTACTCAATATGAAAATACTCTCCCTCTTCCCCTGATGGCGTCCGGGTGATGGCCGCGCATTCTCCGCGTACTGTTTTTTTACACACAGGATGCCCGGGAAATCCCGGGAAACGACTCTCGCTGAGGCGCCGGCGTCATTTTCGGGCCGAACGCCCCCCGCGTACTGTTTTTTTACACACAGGATTCCCGGGAAACGGGTTTTCGCCTGCGTTTTTTTTTTTTTTTTTTTTCTTTTTTTTTCAAAATGATGCTCTCGCTGAGGCGCCGGCCTCATTTCTGCTCCCGAATCGTTCCGAATCGTGCTCCCGCTGCAGCGTGGGCCTCATTTTCGGATCGGTGTTTGGCCTCCGTCGTTCAGGATGGCGTTCTCGCCCCAGCGCGGGCCTCTTTCTCGCGCGCCCATCCGCCCGCCACCACCGCGCCGCACCACCACCACCACCACCACCACCACCACCACCACCACCACCACCACCACCACCACCACCACCACCACCACCACACACCACCACCACCACCACCACCACCACCCACCACCACCACCACCACCACCACCACCACCACCACCACCACCACCACCACCCACCATCACAACCACCACACCGCACCAGCCACCACCACAGCACGAGCACCAGCACCAGCACAGCACCAGCACCAGCACCACACCACCACCACCACCACCACCACCACCACCACCACCACCACCACCACCACCACCACCACCACCACCACCACCACCACCACCACCACCACCACCACCACCACCACCACCACCACCACCACCACCACCACCACCACCACCACAACCACACACGCACGCACGCACGCACGCACGTGCACCACCACCCACTACGCACGCGCGCGCGGAGCCACAGGTCCGCTACGACACGCGTCCGCGGATAGAGGAAATCAGCGCCATGGTAAAGGATGGGAGGGAGGGGTAGGACGTCAGATATGACGCGAGCGCACCTAGCTTGCCTCCTCCCCCTCCTCTTCCTCCTCCTCCGCCTCCTCCTCCTCCTCCTCCTCCTCCTCCTTTCCCTCCCTCTTTCGCTTCCTCCTCGGTCTTCAGTTGTCCCCCCCTTCCGTCGTCGTTGTTATCGTCGTCGTTCTCCTCCTCTTCTTCCGCCTCCCTTTATCTCTTCCCCTTTCTCTGTTTCCTCCCTCCCTCCCCCCTCCTCCCGCGCATCCTCGCTCCCTCCCTCATCCTCCTGCTTTCTCTATCTCCTCCCGCGCATCGCGTTTCGATGGCCAGTGGCTGTGACCCCTCCCTGACATCCGTCGATATGTTTCTTGCTTTCTTTCAATCCGCGGCTCCAGAGTTCCCGACTGTTTCCCGGGGGTTCGTTGTTCGTCCCAGATCCATTCTTGATGGCCTCGAGGCTTGGCAACGGGCCTGGGAGGCCGAAACCTAGGAGCCACGTGTGGATTGGAACAAGAATATCGTCGTTGATCTGGGCGTCCTTTTATCATGAAATCTAGAGTGCCCGTGAGGGCAATACCGTACCTTAGGATACAACCCTCGGGAGGACATCGGCGCCAATTCGCTGTTGCGAACAAGCTCAAACCGGTCGAATCCCACTTCACCCCGCATGCTTGTGCTTAATCCTGCTGAATCCAGCTGAAGCTCGGGCTCAATCCAGCCTAATTCGGCGTGTTGGCTGCCTGACTCGGGCTTTATATGCCCTGTTGTTTCCCAGGCGCGGCTTCCCGGGCTTTGCTTCATGGCCCTCTGAGTCGGTCGTCGCGAAGACCTCCCGCGCGTTGTTCCCCCAACGTGCCCGGCAGTCCTCTCAGGCGGGGGGCGCCCGGCTGTGGCTCGCAGCCGTGGCCGCCTCGGGCGCCGCCAGCCCCACGGCCAGCCCGACGGCCAGCCCCACGGCCAGCCCGACGGCCAGCCCGACGCCCGGGCTGGACAGCGAGCGCTTGGAGCCGGCTTGGGGTCTGAAGTGGTCCAGCACTGGTTCCGGCCAGGCTGGCCACCAGCATCGAGGAAACGTTCGGGGGCTCAAGAGACAGGGGTCAGTGCAAACGGGGTTCAGTCAGAGCGCCGGATCTTGCAGGATCCTGCAGAGTCAGGGGTGCATTGCAAAGCCTGACTGGCCTGGGTTTGGACTGACCCCGGTCAGGATGTCCCCGAAACGTAGGACTCGAGTTGGCCAGAAATTTGGTTCGCCGCCGCTTTCTGACGGGCCCGTTCTAGATTTTGGCGGTCCAGTTTTGGTGGACTGTTTGCAGCGGGAGCTCGCGTCAAATTCAAGACTGGACCTTGTCATTTTGTTGATGGCCCCGTCAGGCCAACCCGAGTCTCCCGAACCCGAGTCTTGCGTCTCCCCGACAGGGGGGCAAGGTTCGAGGTTGTGGGTTCGCGAAGGTTTGTTACCTTTCTCGGCCTTTGGGGGTCATTTTCGGGCCCCAGGACCGTCGAAGTTGGATCCCGGGCGGAATGGGGCGCAGAGGGGCCCCTGGAGGGGCCCAGGGACAGATTTGAGAGGAGTTGGCCTTTTCCGTCCTTCTGGGCCGACCTTCTCGGGGCCCATCCAGTCCAGGAGGTGTTCGATCATGACCCCTTGTGAAACACAGGCGTCCGGCTTTCACGCCGAAAAACCGCCGAAGACCGCGGGTCGAGCATGTCGCAGTTCAGCCCCCCTGGCCGCCTCCAAGCGAGCGGGGCCCCTTCGTCAAGGTGGGCTCGGGCTACTGCAGGGCCCAGGCGGCGCACTCGGACGACCCAGCTCCTGGCCCGGCCCTCCACCTGGAGGGGGCACAGGTGCCGATGCCGCTGCTCGTCCTGCAGATCACTCGTCGCCACCCGAGGGAAGGAACACGGGGGCCATGACCAAGGCGTCGCGGGAACCTGTCCATACCGACCTTGGTCATGGTCCGCGTCGGCCGTCGCCGACTCGCGAGGATGATGCATGGAATGGCGCTGACCAGGATTGGCGGTGACCAAGCACGACGCGACGTTCCCACGTTCAGTCCTGGTCATGGCTCCCATTTTTGTTTCCCTCCAGCCACTGCTGGATTTTCCTCGAACGCGTCCTCCGGAGAGGTCCGGGAAGTAGTGGTATCGGTGCCTTTTCGCCCCCCCCATCCACCGCCGCTGGTGTCAACGACAAGCGAACGACTTAAGAGGGCCTCTTGGGGCCAGGGGGAGCAATTGAGCGGCCATGGCCGATGTTAGGGGGACCAGCTCGGTGGCAGGAGCTTGACCATGATGCTATGCTCGCAGTCGCCACCGCGCACAGTGCACAGTATGTCAGCATCGGCAGACCTATCTCCATCCAAGGGATCCTTACTGCCACACCTGCCTATCCCCTCGAGTTGGGGATCGATGCCCTCGGTGGAAACTCAAGCGGTGCCAACGATGCTGCAATACGGCTCCTCGTCCCAGGTCTCCTCATTGGTCTCTGCACGACTTCTTCTTTTCACGCCGAGAAGCCTCCCCCCCTCGAAAGACGAGCGCATTCCGTCTTGGAAGGACGCCGCCCTCGTCCATCTTCTTCGAGCTTCCGAGACGGGACCGCGGCGAGGCGGGGCTGCCCCGTCAGAGGCGCACGCAGCGACGGCCCCGCTCCGAGGAGGGGCAGCCCCCGCAGCCGTGCGGCCGCCGTGCATGTCTGCTGCGCGCTGCTGGTGCGGTCGGCGCGCCTGGCAAGGACGCCCCGCTATTCACCAACCATCAAGCGACCCTAACCCAACCCGAAGACCTCAATTTGCCCTCCATTTCCAGTGGGGGGGGGTCGGGGAACATCGAAAAATCACATGTGGAGCCCCCCCCCCAACCCGAAATTCGGGTCTTCTGGTTGGGTTGTGGTGGTCTGGTAGGTAGTCAGCTACGCGCCGCTGATGCAGTCAGCGCGCCGCTTTGCAAGAGGACCGCCCCGCTTCGAAGAGGGACCGCCCCGCTACACGTTGCTAATGCGGTCGGCGCGCCTAGTAAGGACGCGCGCCTTCATTTGGGGTGCTCTTGTGTCCTCGCCTCCGTGGCCCGTCCTTTGCCGTTTGCGCTGGTCGCCCGCCGCCTGAGGAATCCCAACTTCGGCCTCCAAGGCTCTTGCGTCCTTACCACCCGTCCTTTGATACACGTATTGACTGCATTTGTTGAGGAGATCTCATTTTTGAAACCTGCCAGGCTCCATCGGTGGAGCTGTTTCACAGTTTCACGCTTGAATTAATATCTGAGAGGAAGTTTCAGGCGAGAGCCCCATGCTGAAAACGTGCTGGCCTCCATCCGAGTGACTGTAGCTTTTAAGGCGAATGTGAGCGGCGTTAGGGCGAGAGCCACATTTGGAAAACGACTGGCCATCCGTCCGTATATTTTCGGGAAGTGTTTAAACCAAAAGTGCGCAGCGCTATGTCGAGCGCCACATGTTGAAAACGACTCGCTCTCCATCCGTGTAACTTTTGGAAGGTCTCAGCTCCAGGATCGAAACCTGCAAGGAAGTCTCTAGCGAAACGCCCAGCGCAGCATGCGAACACGTCGGATGATGTGACAGGGAGGAGGTGTTTATGCAATAGTCGCTGGCTTCTAGCAGGAGGGTAGAGGGGGCGAGAGGGGGAGGGGTGGGCCGTTTCAAAAGGCTCAGAAGGCCTCGAGCCTCCTGATAAGCTTTGTATTGGCGTCACCAAGACTGCCAACACTATGTGTGCGTCGCCCCAGAAGGGGCGACCCGCTCGCTCAGAACTCTCAAATTATAAGCCCCGTGGCGGGCGTGTTCTGGCCATACCGCTCGGGAGACGATATCATATATGATTTTGGTACTACATGTTCGGTTCGGACATGCGTCTCCAACAGAGGCACGTAGTACTCGTATGTCCTCATGCGTCCCATTCTATGCCTTCTCCGAAGCCACCGAGGGCTTCTCAGAAGGCCGGATGGCTTCTTCGAAGTCACGTCGCTTTCGAACCTGCCTGCTTCCTCTCACTTCCCCCTCGGCGAGCGCCGCTGAGGCTGGGGGTCTCCTCCTCCATCCTCCATCCTCCCCCTTCCCCCTCCTGACATTCCAGCACGTACAGAGCTCTGCGGGCGCGGTGGCGGTTATCGGAAGGCGTCAACCATACATACACATCTACAGTATGGTCGCGTCGTGTTGACGCTACGGCGATTCCAGTGCGGGCGTTCAAGGTTGAACGCCGTCACTGTCCCGGAATCGGCCGACATCGAACCATCTGCGCTACTGAAAAGGCACAATGATTGCAAGTTTGAGCGGACCCCGCCGTGTCAGAAACCAACGCGCGAGACGTTGCGACGCGAACCTGCTGTACAGATTGGCGTGCCCCACCCTGGGTCTGGGATCGGTGTGTGCGTGTGTGTGCCTTCCTGGAAGGGCGCCTGTCTCGGAGAGCGTCAACTGTAGGCCCGCACTCGTCTTCGCCAGGCCGATGCTGAGCTCAGGAACGGGCCCGACTTGGAAGGGTGCAGACGGACAGTTGGCGTCCCCCTCCCGCGGTGGTGGCGACGGTGGAAAGTCGGGCCATGGACCCAGACCACCACCCCTGGGAGTCGCTGACGGAGTGCGTTGGGCTCGAGGACTGCAAGCAGAGCTGCCTGAGCAGCCGCACGCGCTGCGCGGGCCTGGCGTGGTCGCCGCGCCCGGGGGAGCTGAACAACTGCAGCCTGGATGGCGAGCCGAGGTGCAACCTCTACCTCGGAGACTCCGAAGTGACCACGACGAGCAGCAGATGGCAGGAGTACACTTGCTACGTCCCCGACGGCGACGGCACTGGGGCGTCCTGGGCGCTGGCGGACTCGAGCGAGGACCAGGGGGGGCTCCTCGGCCTGATCGATCGCACACCCCCCAGATACCTTTACCTGTTCGTCCTCTGCGTGCTCGTGGCGGTGCTACTCTACTGCTGCTGGCCGCGCCTGAGACGCTGCTGCGGCGGCGCCCGCGACGCAGACGAGGGTTCGGGCCGGGAGGCCGACAGTAAAACCGATGCGGAGCAGGGTTTGGCGTTCCTCGCTGGCGACGAGGAACGCGGCTCGGCAACTGGTGACGAGGATGGAGGACATGCGGCAACGGACGTCGAAGTGTCGGTTGACGTCGATACTGCCGGCTCGGCAGCAGATCGCGAGCCAATTGGAGAGAATCATGTCGCAGTGTCGGTTGATGTTGATGCCGACGGATCGGCAGCAGAACACGAGCCGGCCAAAGAGGACAGAGGGCGAACCAGAGAAGATATCGCAGTGTCTGTTGATGTTGAGACCGACGCCGCGGGTCGCGGTCATTCCAGAGACGATAGAGAACATGCGTCAGAAGACGTTGCAGTGTCGGTTAACGTTGGAGTTGACAGCTCGGCAACAGAGCATGAGCCAATCAGAGAGGACAGAGAGCACACCAGAGAAGATGTCAAAGTGTCTGTTGACGTTGAGACCCACGGTTCTCGCGAGCCAGTCGGAGGTGACAGAGGACATGCGTCTGATCATGTCAAAGTGTCAGTCGACGTTGAGGATTGACTTGTGTTCGCGACCGCACCGTGTGCGACTTGCACCGCACTCTCTGCGTATGCAGCGGCGCTGGCGGCTCAGAAATCAGGAGAAGCCGTTGGCGGGTGGGGCGTCGCGGACGACTTGAGCCAGAGATGTGCGTTGCGGTGCGAGTGCTGCTTCTCCTGCCCGTGTGGATAACCAGACCATGGCGCTGCGCGTGGCGATGCAGCTCTAGGAGGAGGAGGAGGGGGAGGAGACCATGGTTGCTGGATGGCCACCTCGCTCTCAAGCCCGTGCCTCAGGCAGGGGTTGGGATCATTGTTTTTTGATATCTTGGTGGCTCGAGTCTAGGCCATCACTATGTCTTCACCGTCTTCCTCCCTTCCCCTTGTTTTCGGCGTCCAGTTTTCACTTGTCTCGGCGTGCCGCTGAGTGGAGCCGGGCGCACAGCTACATCTTCAGCCTAATGCAGCTGGCGCACCCGCGGTGTCAAGGCCATCGCACCAGCGCGTCCGTTGCATGTGGTGCAGCGCTTTGTTTGGCGTGGTGTAGCAGGTCGTCTCTCTCCACCAGGCCTCTCCCAAAGGGCATGTCCGCAGGTGATTTCTCGTCCCCAATCTCCGAGTCCATCCCGAGCACTGATCGTTAACAAAAGGAGGGGAACTCGGGGATGCACCCCGAGGCGGCTATTCGGACGCACCCTTATCGAGGATGAACGCCCCCCCATCGTACGTCCCCAAGTTGGGCCCCACTCCTATGGCCCGTCGAAAAGCGTCGGAGACTGGGGTCGAACTGTACCTTGTTAAGTGGGCAGTGTCCAACATGTAGAATTTACCACGCCTGCAGTTGTTCTTAGCACGCATGGCCATCGAAGGATTTAGTCTCACATTTCGATTCGATAGTGCATGCCCGCCTGGCTCCTGTGGCAGTGCTGCGATCCTGTCGAACGGCATGTGTACTTTGGAGGTGCTGCGGCAAAGTTGGCAGGTCATCAAAAGGCGCCTTCGGATTCGCGTAGGGTTTCTCATCCAGTTCACACGTTCTACCTCCTTTCTACTGCCGCTCTCTCTGCCGCAGTTGCCAACGCCCACTCTCAGTAGCGTCCCCCAACCCGAAACGGCCGCGTGCGTGCCGAAGAAGTGCACCGCCGCAGGGCCCACACGCTCCAGCATCAGCAGAGAAGCAGGCGCGGACGCAGACGGCGCGCTACCGAAGGCGCCCGCGTAAGGCTGAGTCACCGCCGCCCCCCTGCCCGTGCGGAATCGCAACGCATCCGTGGCTTTGGCAAGCCTGGTGATTTACAACTTGCCCCGCCGTGCTTGACTTCCGCTTCCCCAAGGTGGTGTCGGGACGTTCAGGTGAGCACTTGAGGTCCAGAGTGAGGACTTTTCTGGGAGGCTCCTTTGGGGCCCTCTTGGACGCTCCTGTGGGCCTTCTGGGGCCCTCTTGGGTCGTCTCGGGATGCTGGTGGGCTCCTCAAGGCCGCCTTGGGTGTCCCTGCAGGGGCCTTCTTGGGCCGTCTTTGGGCCCTATTGGACCGTTTGGGGCTCTTCTGGGGCTGTCTGGGATTACCTGACAGCCATGCGATGGAGCAGATGGACTCGCGGGGCACTCCCCGCCCGTACTTGACGCTACCACTGTTCGAAAAAGATTGTGTCCAGGGGCACGCCCGTTTTGACAAGGAACCCGCCCTCCATGTTGATAGACATGTTGACCTGTTTAACGTATGGCAGCAATGTCAGCAATACTGAGAACACATTCCTGTTTTGAAGAAGGATCGCTATTCACCCGTGTAAATGTATATTCAGATGGCCTAACGCCTATCCCACCACCGTGTCTGCGCTGCGGTTCAGAGGTCCAGGATCAGGGAGGAGGGGGAGGAGGAGGAGGAGGCGGAGGAGGAGGAGGAGGAGGAGGAGGAGGAGGAGGAGGAGGGCTCCGAGGGGCCTCTGGGTGGTAGTTCGGATGCCTAATTGGAGCCTCACGGGGGGCCATTTTGGAGCCTCAGGGGGGCCTCTCGTAGGGTCTCTTGGGGCCTCCTGGAGCCTCATGTCCGTTCGGGTCCCCCTTTGGGCCCCCTTTTGGGGTCGTCTTGGAGGCCTCTTGGGCTGTCCTGACGCCTTCCTGAGCCGTTGTAGGGCTTTCTTGGAGGCCTCTTGCGCCGTTTTCGAGTGACATTGCAGGTTCATGGGGCGTCTGGGAGCGTCGGGAAGTCGAAAAGGCGAGGACGCCCAAATCTGTGAAAAACCTGAGGGGAATATCCAGATTTTTCCTCTAGGGCCCTCATGGGAGTGCTCGCGGATGCCTCCTGCGGCGTCTAGACCTTCGACACAGCGGCGCAAATGCCCCCGACGGTGAGATGTGGGCCGAGCTGTTGCCTTGAAGCCAAGTCGCAAAATCGTGGCCGACCTGAACTCTACAATTCCCCCCCCCCTCCCCCCTCCCTCCAGGGCGTCTTAGGCGCCTGGGGCCGCCTGGAGGGCATCGTAGCCAGCCTTGGGGCCTTCTGGGCCCCTCTCGGGGCTGGACCCTCGTGGGCGCTTCTGGCGAATTCTTGAGTCTGTTTCGGGTCGCTTTGGACGGGGTCGCCGTCCCGGGGGCCCACGCGGAGCACCCTGGGCGCGCCCAGTACCGCGTAGGAGCGCCTGGGGGACCAGGATTCCGGGCCTTCCAGAACCTTTTAGAGAAGCCCACTACGTCTCAGTGCTGTATGAGCCCTGGGGCATTCCACCAACGCGCTGAGGGCACGGCGGCGGATAATTTCACCTGCCTGGTCATCCATTTCGGATAATTCTTATGCGGCATCCCCATTTCGAAAAGGAGCTGCCCTCCACCCTTGTGAGTTTTGGAGACGTTTGAAACGAATGTGCGCGGAGCTGAGGCGAGAACAACGTGTTGACAACTCGTTGCCCGCCATCCCTGCGGAGGCTGGGGGATTTGAAAGCGAATGTTTGCGGCGTTGAGACGAGGGCCACATCTTGAAAACGGCCCGCATCCCATCTTTCTGATCCTTGAGCACTTCGAAGACAAACATGTTCGTTGCTGAGGTGTGAGCCACAGTTTGGCAACCACTCGCCCTCCATTATGGTATCTTTTGGGAATTGTGAGATTCAGGGTTCCAAGCGGCGAGGGGGGTCTCAGGCAACACACCCAGCCCGAGGAGGAGGAGGAGGTGGAGGAGGAGGAGGAGGAGCAGGCATTCCCGATATATCGACGAGGAGAAGCTTGCCCTGTTGCAAGCAAGGTGGATGGTGGAGGTGGAAAACAGAAGGAGGCTACGTCGGACCGAGGTGTGAGATCGAGGTCGGCTTGGGGAGGGTACCCTGGTGGTCTTCGTGTTTGTTGGATTTACCTGTGCGTCCTTCGGGTCGGGCGAAAGGGGGGGATTGGGAAAGGGGGGGTACGAAATTTGCTGCATGCAGCTGGTTTCGGCCCCGCCGAGGGGCCCATTCCTCGATACATAGCCGCCTCCGGCGCCGGGAAAATCAGCTACGTGAGCTGATTCTCAAACCCCCCCTTTGCTATCCCCCCCTTTCGCCCGACCCGAGTCCTGGGGAAGGTACCATTGGACGCTCTGTGCGTTCTGGCCGGCGGAGGGTCTCGTGTTTTTGAGGGGTGTTTTTCTATCTTAGGCCGACTGTCTGTTGGCTCGGGGGATCACCCGTCGAGTCCTCCTTGCGCCGGGACGATGGATCGGGACTCCGCCCGCCGAGCCCCTCCGGCACCAGAGGGGTGGACTGTGGGGGGGTCGCCCGCCGAATGCTCCCCGCACTCGAACGTTGGACTGGGGAAGAGAAGGAGTACAGAAGAACTCGATGGTAAAGATGGTTGACCTTCCCAAGAATGCCCTTGCATCCTTGCCTTTTCGGGGCATCTCGAACTCCTTTCGATGGCCAGCCCCGCTCGAAAAGCTTCGACGTGGGCGTCCAAGGAGCTTGCATCCTTATCGCGCATTATGACCATCAGTTTTGACTGTACTCACCGAGCGTGTTCCACTACTCGCAAAGTGCTTACTCGTAAACATCAAAAAACAGGTCTGCATCGATGTAATGTATCGTAAACCTCCACGGCGGATCCATGCCATTTGCCAGTAGTGACTTTGCGAGTAGCGGAACGCGCTTGTCTATGTACGGTAGGGTCGCGTCGTGTCAGGAGGAGGAGGAGGAGGAGGAGGCGGAGGCGGAGGCGGAGGCGGAGGCGGAGGAGGA